CATATCACCAGCAATGACGAGACGATTCTTAAACCGTTTGAGCGACTCAAATGCAACGGTCAGCATGTGCACGCACAGCCGTGCAACAGAGAGCTTTCACTGGCACAAAAATACACTCGACGACTGCAATCTGCCTTTGTGGAAGCCGTCTATTTGGCGAAAGCCATTGATACTGCGCGCGGAAACGCGCCTACAAGTACTGCACATGCTTACCCTGCTGACCTTCCTGATCAAGCCGAACCAGGCGAAGGTATGAGACGCATCGGTGATCGTATCATCCCGAAGGTGGCCACATGCCCGGCATGCATCGACAACGTCCGAAAGGACAGTCCTAGCCACAACAGAGACCCTACGCAGTGTAAGTATCATGATTCCATCTCTGTATATTGGCCATGTCCCGCATGCCAGAGGGATCTTACGAGAAGCAAAGGTGTTAAGAACCACCTCGATACCGAATATGGTAAATGTCGTTTTGCTGAACCATTTAAACTTCCAGATGACCACGACCCCGAAGGTAAGACCGTGCCAGCTTGGTGGAAACCCTCACCTAAACCTGGTGAGGGCCATGCTTCAGCGTCAGGTGGCCGCCAAGGCGCACGCGCCAGGCCACCGCGACCACGATCCTTCGGTAACGTTGATCCGACATCTGGTGCCAGCAGCGTGGAAACACGCCTTCTGCGTCCTCTAGCGAAGCGCCTCAGGTAGCGGCCCGTCGCGGCCGCCTACAAGGCGTACCACCACCACCAGATGCAGTTGACGAAGGAGACCGACTGCGGAGAGCTACAAGGAACCCTCTTGCCTCCACCGGCTCGGGGGCTCCACGACTACCCGACTGGACGAGATTCGACATCCAACGCAGTCTGCAAAATCTCCGTAGTCATGAACCTTTTGTCGTTAAAAAGGAACTCCGTAAGCTGCACCTGCGGTGGCATCATGCGAAGGAACCCAAGATGAGGCTAATCCTAGACAAAGTGGGACTGGACAACGTTCGACTGAATATGATCAAAGAAGTTTGCGATACCTGTCGGGAATGCAGAGCATGGGAACGTCCAGGAAACTCAACATCACCTTCGGTGAGCCTTCCTGGCAACTGGCTCGATGAAGGCGAAATGGATCTCATGTTTTACAAGAAACGAACCATATTCCACATTATGGATCGTTGGATTCGCCTGGCAGCAGGCCAAGAAATCTCCGACAGAGAACGTGCTACTATACTTGACGCCTACCACTACTGCTGGATTGCCTACCATGGACCCTTCAAAGTTTTATACTCAGACGGAGAAGGCGCCCTGAACAACGATGCCGCTAAGGCCATGATGGCCAATAAGGGCACAGCACTCCGTATCCGAGCGCCTGGCCAACACGCGACTTCAATTGAGTCACGAAACGGCGTTCCCAGGGGCGTATTCCACATGATTGAGGAAGAGCTGAATAGACACAACATCCCTGTTGTATTCACTAGAGTATTGGCTGGAGGCATCTTCGTTGCCAATGCCTTTACGTTTTACAACGGAGTATCGCCATACCAAGCACACACTGGACGTGAGCCCTCCTTTCTTCCTGACCTCGACACCCTTGACTTTCCGAAGGGACCCGAGACATCAGGACGCGAACGGGAACGTCGTGTGAGGGAAGTTAGCCTAGAAGCCATAACTCAAGCCACTGTTGTTGCCAAGACAAATCGTGCTCTCAGGGCTAAAACGGCCCCTGATGGTGCTCGCCTTTACTCAGCAGGGGATCTGGTCGACTACCATCGACCCACTGCCACTAAGTCACTAAGGACGATCATGGAGGCTGGAACGGCCCATTCCCGGTGATCCGTAACGTGCCTGAAAGAGGACATATTGTTGTCAAGGCAGGATCTCGTGAGGTAATTGTGATGTATCCTGATGCTCGTCATACACTATACATTGAATGTCTCCTCACACGGGAACTTGGCATGGATAATCTGGCCATGCAAACTGTCCTTACATATGTGGCGCACCTCGGCGCAGGGAAACCTGCCAAAGTCTTCGGCTACATGTCAGATTACAAGGGGAACCTCAATCTTTCAGACGACAGCAAGTTTCACCCGCGCGTGCATCTTTCACTGCAGTATCTCGTGCGAAACTATTTCCGAGTAGAACACGTAGTAGCAGTTAGGTTGGCCAAAAGTGTGTCAAGTCTACCTGCAGTAAAGTACGCCACCGGGTCTACGCTGATCCACTACGACAACGATATCAGCCCAGCCTTCCACTACTATGAGTGTGTGGGCACTGGCCAGAACATTTCTCAAATCACTGGTGGCACTCATTCCAGACTTATCCAATGCTTGACTTCACGTGTCCCTTCCTTAGGATTTCACGACGACTTGGCCAAATATCAGCACTCAAGCACCGCGTCTGGAGAACACGATTCGCCTGGAAACAGGCCTCCACCAGATACCCCAGGTGCTCCATCGCCGAGTGAAGGCCGTCTGTCGACAATCTATGAAGAAAACGAGGAACATAATATCGAAGCTATGATACTGGAAGAGTGGTACGACGAGTTACGTATGGACCTTCATCCCACGACAACTACCGACGATTATCTCTACTGCGTCCCAACAACCATGCTGCCCGACCAATGTGTTTTGGTTTCAGCATCTGTGGACGAAGAAGATATCGTATTGTCGGAGCCGCTCGGAGACGAGCCTGATCCACGAGAGTCCTGTCTAGTCTCTCTCTGCTCAACCACACTTGATGAGAGCTACTCTCTTGACAGTGATGAATATGGTCCCTATGTTGAGTTATGGTTTACATCAGAAATGTCAAAGGTAGTGTTGGGTCAGACTCAACTTGCACAGCTCGACACTGATATGGTCGCAACGATGAGAGTATATGTATCCTCTGCTGCTAAACGCGCTGTGGCAGTCAAGGAAGATGACCTACTCACCAAAGCCGACATAGCAGCACATCCAAAAGAGGTAGTGAAGCTTTATACACTGAACTCAAATTCTGGATTGATAACCGATGCTTTGAGATGTATGATTTTTCCAAAGCTTCCAACATCATGACATCCAGGTATGTATATAAGTGGAAGTTTGTGAAGGTGGGTACCGAGAACGTTAAAACCATTCGTCTCAGACTCGTCCTTCGTGGATTTATGGACACTGAGGCTTTCGATGTGGAAACTTTCTCGGGAACCGCCCGAAGGCGGTCCCAGAGACTCCTGGCATGTGAGGCGGCATGCCATCCAGAGTGGATCTTAGCATCCATGGATACCGATAAGGCGTTCCTCAAGGGTCTGACCTATGAGGAACTGGCCCATGCCACCGGCGAGGAAACTCGCATGGTTTGCTTCACCCTTCCACCGGGAAGTGCCCAGGTACTTCGTACACTACCCGGCTTTTCATCCTATGACGAAAGCCGACGCTGCCTCAGGCGCCTCAAACCAGGAACGGGTACAAAGGACGCCCCAAGAGCGTTCTCTCTCAAACTTCGTACGACCACACGATCTATAGGCCTTACACCGACCAGTTATGATCCTGAGTTTGAATTCAGCCAAGATTTGCTAACGGCAAACATGCCGATGATATTAATATGACAGGCCTAGAGAAAAATATAGACGACTATGTACAACGTGTCGAAAAGGTGTTTGGCAAATGCAAGCTTAACAAACACTCATATACGAACTGCGCTGTTCGCTACACCAAGAATGACCAAGGGGATGTGATCATGGACCAGGACGAGTATATCAAACAACTACGTCCCATCACATACCCAGAACTTACAGGAGCGGCGGCCGATGCCAAAGCCACGAAACTTATTACCGACATGTTCGTCAGCTTGCGAGGAGCCCTCGCCTATGCCCTTCTTACTCAAATCTGGCTCATGGCATACGTGGTCTCTCTCCAGAAGATCCAAGAGCTCGCCAACCTACAAGTCAGACGACTGAATGCTGTGACGCGAAAGCTGATCAGCAGCCCGAAACGCATCACCTTCCCTCGGATGAAGCCGACGAATGAAGTTGACATACACAGCGATTCGGGGTATCGGAAGCTCACCGGGGAGGAGGATGACGAGGCCAGGGGCTACGGCATACGCGGGGCCAATGTAGTACGGCGAGGAAACTCGCCTCAAGGCAAATCCGTCGTTCACCTCTGTGACGGACTATGCAAATCACACCGACTGCAGGTGAGGTCCAGCTATGCTGCGGAGGCACTCGCAGCTGCGCATAACCTCGATGAGTGTTACCCTACGCTCATCACTCTCCACGAGCTCAAGGCAGGAGCTCTGACTCCACGACAACTACGAGATATGCGTGAAGTTGGAGGCCTAGCCATTAAAGTATCTCTTACCATAGACGCTGAGTCTGTTTATAAATCATTATCAAGCAAGGATCTTAAGATACCGACAGAACGGACTCTGCTTGTACATATCAGTTGGATACGTGAGCTCATGGATATAGGTATAGTACATAACGTGCAGTGGTGTGGTACTAGAGATATGACCGCAGATGGGCATACAAAGGGAAGCATCGATCGGGAGCTGCTTTTGGAAGTGATGTCAGGCACTCAGTCATTCAAGTATGACGTGCAGCAGTTTGTTCCCTTTCGGGGTCCCGAGGACAGAAACAAACCCAAGTCTAATCAATTTTAGTCTGTCCTTGTTGCCCCCCCGCGGTCCAATTTGCCAGCATGGGCGCCCGCTACAGAGGCGCCCTTCTAGTTGCTCGGAAACGAGCCTTATATTTCACGCCTGGCAACGAGCCGGCTTTATATGATTCAGGCTCTTTGCCTTAATACTTGTTTGCTCGGCGAGGCATGGCCCGTTTGGCTCACCTCTAGCTGAACCGATAGCCCTTCATCGTCCGAAGGGGCTATCTTGTATTTGCGTGAAATGCTTTGCGAGGGAACTCGCCTTACAGTCTGGTGTTAGGCCAGACTGTACACACTGTTTTCTTTCTTGCAAGCAGTTGCGCGCGCGGCCTTTGTAGAGCCTAACGGCTGCGCGGCTATACTCTCCGTCTCCTCCCCTCCCGACTTTAAGGGTAGCTCTTTGGGATATGTTATAGTATCGGGAGTATAGCTCGCGCGCCGTTGCCTTTGGCTCAAGGCACGCGCGCCCTATTTGCCCGGACACTGCTTGTGTTCGCTATGTGCTGGAAAGATCATTACATCGATATTATCCTATCTTATCCGTCCATTCCTCTTACTGAACCACCTCAGTACGATACCGGACGCTATTTGCCATCCGCTTCCCATGGAATTGGATGCTATTTGGGTTACCAGGCTCACTTTCGATTTGCGGGGATCCTTATTTGTGACGGCAGTTGTTCACGGCGGCGATGGAACGTGCAGCGGTGAAGATGTTCTGGGAACTATCGTGGCATGTTGGCTTGGTAGCATCGCGTGGACTGTGCTGTGCAACGTAGTTTTCATCGAGGGGGTGATTCGCGAGGTGCAGATTCTGACGGCCCAGAGAGAGCTGAAGGCGGCCGATTCCATTCTCCAGGGCACTTGTGATGCTGTGGTCGTATTGGACCAGGGGCTCAAGGTCACGCAGGGCGCGGAATCCGTGGCGAACATGCTGATGATGTCCCCACCAAAGATCCAGGGCGAGAGCGTTTTGTCCCTGATCGCCACCGAAGAGGAACGCGAAAGATTTGAGGATATGGTGCGTGGCGCCCGATCCAGCGCGTTCCCAGGTCCGTGCACGGCTTTCAATACCTCCCTGAAGGACAGTGCTGCCATCTCGTGCACTGTCGAGGCGCTGTGCGTGAAGTATTTGCAGGCCGACGGCGGGGGTGAGTCGTTTTTGCTCGGTTTCCGGGAAGCGGACCTGCCTGCAGTCCCTCGCCTGACAACTTTCTCAAGCTCCGTCCCGCGGAGCAGACGTTCTCGGCCCCCGCCGCCACCCGCTGAGCAGTTGGTTGAGCATCCGCAGGCCATGAGATCTGCCCGAAGCACGGACGCCCTGGCCGCCCAGGACGACAGCTCGGATGGAGCCAGCTCGTCCACGGGGCAGAGCAGCGACAGCGACGACGCATGTACTCCAACAGGATGTCGGCCACCTGCCCTGTGGTTTGATCCCAGTTCCCCTGAGTTTGAGCTGGTCAAGAGCAGCGCCGAGTTCAGGATGCTTACCGGCTTCACCGATGAGGAGATGACAAACCTGGGAGGTGTTCTGACGTGGGTGCGCAATGAGCAGAGGGAAGCTTTCGCAACTTGGGTGCGCAACTTCGCCGACGGCACCCAGAATCAGGAGAGTCAACGTTCCGACGCTCGTGCAGGAGTCAAATTGTGTATCGCGAGCGAGAAGCACAAGGCCCAGTTTCAGGCGGAGGTGCACTTGGAGACGTGCTGGTCAAAGGCCATTCCCATGACCCTCAAGCTCGTGGTCCATGGCTTCCGAGCCCAGCAGAAGAATACTAATAAGGGTAGGAGCAGGAGGACTCGAGAACGACGTGACGATTCTTCTGATGCCGACGAGGCTACACCGCACGAGGGCAAAAGAAGGGTACGCAGTGAAGACTTTGAGGTTCGCGACTCAGGGCTACATGTGCAGTGCGACATCGGGAATGGCGAGTCTGATAATGATCCGCTCGTGGTCACGAGGAGCATCAGCCCTGGTCTCCAGCTGCTTCTTGGCACCGGCGATTCAGGGCAAGATGTGTGCGACTTGTTCGCCCAGACAGAGGTCGACCGACTCGAAAGTTGGTTGCACGACGAGTATTTCGCCTGGTCTCAGCGTAATGACGCCTCCTCCGCCACCAGCCACTGGTTTTCCTTAAAAATGCCAGCTCTGGAAACAATAGACGTCCGCATTGAGGTCAATTGTAGGCTCGCGTTTCAGCGTGGAGACTTGGGCATGTGCCTGGTGATCCAACGAATGCGATGGTCGCCCATCAAGGGGTTGACAAGGGCCAAGGCGCGCAGAAGGCCAAGGACTGTCGGCACGCCGGCAAGGGTGGATTCGGCGATGCTCGACACGCTGAGTGGACACGTGAGCCTGTGATGGACCTTAGTCATCACACTTCCGTCGGGCACAGCAATTGCTTAGGCGTGTAGGCGTTCAGGACAACTGTGGTGCGACTGAGTACTTTGGAACTGAGCTGCAAACAAAAAAAAAAGAGAGATGGCCCCAAGAGTTTCAAGATCGCATCAAGACGGCCCAAGGGACCCCGGAGAGGACTTTCAAGAGGACCCAAAGATGCATTGATCATTGATTTACATGTTGTTTTCGATATGTTTCACGTCGTCGCCTTTTCGAACTTCCCACGCTCCCACACAGCCCCAGAGGCGACAAAGACCGCTCCAAGACGGCCCAAGAGGCCTGCAAAAGGGTCCCAAGACCGGCCAAGACGGCCCCAAAACGGCCCAAGAGGCGTCCAAGACGGCCCAGGAGAGCCCCCAAACGGCCCCAAGAGGGGCCCAAGAGAGGGGAACACGAACCTACAATCCGAGCGTTCCACCCCAAGACGCCGCCCAGGAGGTCCCATGACGCCCCCAGGAGGCCCCTCGAGGCCCCCACGGGGCCCACCAAGAGGCCCCACGAGGCCCCCAAGAGGCCGACAGGACGCTCCAAGAGGCATTCAAACAGCCATCACGAGTCTTCGAATCTGCCTTCAGAAGCTCGCAGAGTGTCCCTAAGCGCGGTCTCGGCCCACTCCAGGTCGCAGGGCGTGTCAGGTGCAGCACCCTCGCGGCCCAGTGACGGTCGAAAGCTGGACGAGGGCTGCTAAAGCCGTGGCTGCTAAAACGGCCCTCCCGGAAGGAAGAAACAACTTCCCGGAATGAGGCGCGGCCCGCGAAACAGTGAACGGGCTTCCTCCCGGAAGGACGAAGACAACTTCCCGGAGGTCGATTTTAGCAGCCACGGATTTAGCAGCCCTTGCCCGGCTTCCGGGACGGGGCCCAGGGGGTGGTCCCTGAGCGCGCCGTCCCTATCCACGCCAGGATTACGGGGCGTGGCGGGCGTGGCCCGACGCCCGAGGGGGGGTGCGCAGGGATCTGCCCCCGAATGCGGAGCGCCACGGCGGTCGCGGGGTCCTTCTCCTCCTTCTCCTCCATCTCCTCCTTCCAACTCCTCCTCCTGCTCCTCCTCCTGCTCCTCCTCCTCCTCCTCCTCCTCCTCCTTCTCCACCCCCTCCTCCTCCTCCTCCTCCTCCTCCTCCTCCTCCTCCTCCTCCTCCTCCTCCTCCTCCTCCTCCTCCTCCTCCTCCCTCCGAGCAGGAGAAGAAGGATGATGGGGGAGGATGGACAGCAGGAAGGAGGAGGATGTCCTTGGCGGTCCGGTTTGCCCGTCCCCAGCATTGGGAATACTTATTTGCTTACTTGGTCCCCCCAAGATCGCGCAAGTCTCCATTTCGTTTGTCGCGCATTGGGCTCGAGATGCAACTCCTCAGAGGTATACTGTTCCAGCGTAGCGTCGTCGCTGGTAGGTCCGTGCGTCGGCACGCGGCCCAACCCGGCGCAGTCCCGTCGTTTCAGGTTGAGTCCCGCTTGATGTTGGGCCCAATGTTGTTTGATTTGGTTTAGCGGCCGTGCGATCGGGCATCAAAGTTTGGAATTATTGTTTCGAAGTCTTCCCGGGAGTTGCCTCTCAACAGTCCATTTCGAGAAATTGCCTTTTCTCTTCGTCGTCATGCGGTGTGTTGGCCCACATCGGCCCGTTCGCCTCCCAATGTTGCGCCTGCTCTGGCCGTCGGCGCCTTGGCCGCCATCGACGGGCTCGGGGCTGGATCGGTTGACCAGGCCGATGTCCAGGACAGGTCGATAGACGTGCACAAGGCGCTGGAGTAAAGACCCCTTGATTCGATTTTCGGTTTGCAGCCCTTCCTGGGGCCCGCCTAACGGTTCTGGTCGACTCCGGTTCGAGTTCAGTTTGACTCTCGTTCGAATCAAGTTCGATTCAAGTTCGACTCAAGTCGACGGACGGTCTACGCAGCATCGACGCATGAGTGGGCCCAAATGGCTCCAGGGACAGTTTCCAGAACGAGCATCTAAACTCTGGTGTCAGCAAGGTCCTGGTTTGCGTGAGTTCTCGCGCCGTTCTTTGGATGCGGGTCCTGGGAACTCCTTCGTGGCAGAGGCTCGCGTTGGCCGTGAGGGCACCGGCGGTCGAGGACCACTGTGGGCTCAGGAGCTCATGACTGATTTTGGCTCTCGCACCACCCTGGGGATGTGGGTGCGGGGAGCCTCTTGGCGGCCGAGATTCGCCGTGGCCCGGAAAGCACTCCATTCCCATTCCAAGCGTTCCGTTTGGTAGTGCGATGATTGTTCGGTGGTATTCGCGAAAAGTATGGCGTGGATCCGCCACGTTCGTGTCGTGTGTATCGAGTGTACATCATAGATAATGGGTGGTCCTTGCAGTAGTAAGCTGGGGGCATGATGCGGAAGTGCTTTTGTGGGGTGCCTCCACTTGGACGAGCTACACGATCACATACGGACGGAAGCGTGACGCGCTGGTGCCAGAACAGTTTAGATCTCCAGGCGTCGATCTACTATGTTTGAGTTTGGCTGTTTGTGTCCCCAGCTGTCAGCGCAATTCGCGATTCCCTTGCCTGGTTTGTCGCTCCGACCGTATCGAGTGTCCGCCATCATTGCGGTTCAAAAGGGTATGTGTGTGTGTGTGTGTCCGTCCCCATCTAGCGAATGTTTACTTCCTTCTTCGGGCGACGCATCCGCTTCCACCCGTGAGCCCGTCTCTCCTGGTTTTCTACCCTCGCTTCGCCCTTCTTCCTCCGCTTCCATCCCTCCCCTGGTGTTCGTTTGGGTGGCCTTCCTGAGGCCCACCTGTCAGAGCAATTCGACTCCAGTTCGAGTATCACCAGCCTCGAACTTATCCCTATCCCTAAGATTGACACGCCAAAAGGCGATGACAATCTTAGGGATGCGCCCTGAAAAACTAAGGGACTCCCTAAGATCGGCATTGTGATGAGGCGATGCCCAGCTTGGGGATAGGGATATGTTCCAGGCTGGTATGAGTATGGCTCGACTCCAGTGTGATTCTAGCTCGATTCATGGGCGATCAGCCCGCGAGACAGAGTGCCGGGACGTCCCAGACCACCCACGCGCACGCGCAGCAGCTGCAGCGCGAGTCAGACTGCCTTCGCCCCTAAGCGCAGAGCCTCCTCCTCCTCCTCTCCATCCTCCATCCTCCTCCTCCTCCTCCATCCTCCATCCTTCTCCTCGCCTCCTCCTCCTCCATCATCTCAACCTACACCTTACACACACGGTGGCGAGGTCTCGTTGGGATCGGCGTAGGGCACCGCTCCGCCGGACATCCCAGTAGCTCACGAGAGTGAAGATAGTGGCGCACGTGGCAGCCCGCCACGGTGGCGGCGTCGAACATGGGTCTGCGCAGGACACCACTCCGCAGGACTTCCGGCAGCTCACGAACGTGATGGCAGTTGCGCGGTCGCAAGGGTGGCGACAGCTAATGTTCCTCTTCTTCCCCCCCTCCTCTTCCAATGTAGCGTTCCGCACTGGCGGCCTGCGTAGGCCACCGCGGAAGGGCGCTATGTCATCTAGCGGAAGACCCTTCTCCTTTCGTCGCTCACCTCAACCTCTTCCACCACCATTGTCACTCCCTCCCCCTCCTTCCCTCCATTTCAACCTCCACCTTCTTCCCCTCTTCCTCCTCGGTCTGCATCGCATGTTATGTGTCTCGTGCGCATGTCTCAACACGCGCTGCAGCATTTCGAAGCCCGGACACTTGTCCGCATCAGTGGGCGGTCAATCGGCGGGGGGTGGTGATGAGCGGTGCACCTTCTGTGCACCAAAGGGGCCAAAGAGGGGCACGAAAGCCAGCCTCCTCCCCTCTCTTCTCATCCTCCTCCTCCTTCTCCTCCTGCTCCTCTTCCTCCTCCTCTTCCCCCTCCTCCTCCTCCTCCTCGTCCTCGTCCTCCTCCTCCTCCTCCTCCTCCTCCTCCTCCTCCTCCTCCCCCTATGCACACCCGAAACCGATGGCAAGGATGGGTAACATTCCCAAGGTAACCCTTGCGTCCGTGCTTCTCTAGACCATGTTCAGCCACTTTCGATGGCCCGCCTCGCTCACGGGAGTCCAGGGGGCCTGCGCCTTCCTTGCAGAGTTTGCCCAGCAGTTCTTCGTTGCAGTTAACGCCCGAGAGTGGTTCAGTCCCTCCTCTTCCTTTCCCACCGCCTAAATCAGATCATTGACGGCTGTACACAATGCTTCGGTCACCCACCTCGCCCCGCACTCAACCACGATTGTTTCGGAATCAAACACAGGAATACTTCCAGACAGATGATTACCTTCCGCATGTCATGGACCAAGATCTCCTCTTCGGTCGTCCCCCCGCCTCCGTCCCGCCCTCCACTTCCGTGCTTCATTACCCACCACCCCAACCCAACTCGGAGGCCCCAATTGACCCTCCATTCCCCGTAGGGGGGTCGGGGATGAAAAACACACGTGGAGCCAGTACCGCCCCCCACAAACCCGAAATTTGGGTCTTCGGGTTGGATTGGGGTGATCTGGTAGGTAGTCAGTGCGCTGGGGGCAGGCCTTCTCAGAAGGCGGCGGTGCCTCGCAGAAGCCCCCATCGCCTCTGAGAAGCCACCTGGTGACCTCAGCGAGAAGGCTTCGCCGAAGTTTCCGCCCTCCCGCCTCCGCACCGCCCGCCACCTCCGCGCCCCGCCCTCCCCAGGGGCAGATCTCCCTGAACCTGCGGCTCCGCGCGGGCGGCGGGTGCGGCGCCGGTCCGCCGCCGAGCGAGCCCCCGCTGGGGGGCTGCGTCGCCGCCAGCAGTCGGGGGCGGCCCGAGCGCGGGGAAAGACGCGCCGCCCAGGGTTGGTCTCTCCCCTGACCTTCCAGGAGGGCTAGAAAATAGCACGCGACTTAAAAACCCATCCCAGAGCTATTCTATGTCTTGGCTTTAGGCTGTTTCGTTTAGTTTTTTAGGTTTTTAGGCCTCCCGTGCTAAAAAATAGCTCCCTGGAAGGTCAGAGTCTCTCTCTCTCTGGGCCTCGCAGGTGGGGTCGGAGCAGATGGGGCCGGGGAATGGCGCCGCATCGCTGGTGCATCGACGAGGCGGCTCGGTGTGGAGCCAGATGTTCTCCACGCCGATGCATGGCCGATGTCGCGAAGGCATCGCCGATGCATCGGCGATGCATCGGCGATGTGGCGCGATCCTCCGACCCAATCGACTTCGACCCCATCTGGGAGGCCTCTAGTCTCAGAGGAGGAAAAGGCCAGGCTCCTACTCTGGCCTCGGTTTCCATTTCCGAGGGGGCCTCCTGTGAGGCCCTCGTCGCCACAGCTGGATTCGTCACGAAATTCTGGTCAGAACGCATCCCAGGGAGTGGCGGTAGCGGTACCTTTCGGTTTCCCGATCGTCGGGAGCCTCGAGACGGGGGTCAATGCAAGCGGGGGTCAGCCAGAGCGCCACATTTTGTAGGATCCTGCAGGGCCAGGGCTGCATTGACCAGGGCTTGCGCGCAGGATCCTGCAGGATCTTGCAGGCTCCTGCACAGCCCGGCAGACCAGGGTTTGCATTGACCCAGGGCTGCATTGACCCAGGGCTGCATTGACCCAGGTTTTCGCCAGGTTTCGGGCCCCGGGATTATCGCAGATCGATCCGGCTCGAAAAATGCAGCCCGAAGATCGGGTCAGGGGCTCCAGTCGCAATTCTTCGCGAATTTGCATTCTTTCCAGAAGAGACAAGGTTATTACCGATATCGCTCTCCTCACCCTGTTTTCACCTGTTTTGGCCTCTTGGGATGCCCTCGTCACCTGGGCCAGATTCGCCGCATAATTCTGGTCAGAACGCACCCCGGGGGAGGCCTGGGGAGCAGCGATACCACAGGCGTCGCTATATGTTGACGTCTCCTCAGAAGCGCCGTGCGGAGAGGCCCCTCCTAGATCTCCGACGATATGATGTTTTTAGAGGCTAGATTCCCGTCAGGCTTCGACAAAAACGACAGACGGGAGGTGGGAGCGTTGCAGGGACAGAAAGAAATTCGTGAATTCATGTAAGTCGGGACTCATTCGCAGTGTTGTTCCGGCCCAGCGCTGTTTGAAAAGGCGGCGGAGGAGGGGGTGGGTCGGGGGCAAAGGCCATGCAAGTAAGCTTGCCAGAATTTTAATGGAAATACGCTCCACCCCGGGTGTGGTTCTTCGATTTCGGCGTCTGGGGTCTGTTATCGGGCCCCAGTACCATTTTAAGTTAATCCGCTGCGGGAACTTGGCCCCAGTGAAGGGGTCGGGACCCCTGGGACCGCGCATAGAAAAGACATATCGGCGGATGTATGGGCTTGGATCAACGCGGGAGTTGCCAAGGGGTGCCGTGCCGAGAAGCGTCTGCGAGTGTTCGCATCGTCCCGAACAGCTGTTTGATGCTCGAGTTATGGCTCGAAAACAGACCTCCTCGCGTTGCGACGAAATCGCAGAACTATTCGGCAAATTCGGATCATTGCGTGGGTTGGGGTGGAGGGTTAGAAAGGATAATTTGAGAATTCTAAAGGGATGCTGAGGTGGTTTGTGCTTGCATGTCTAATCACAAGTGCTAAATACATACGTATACGATCACCCTTCGGGTGATAAGGAGGTTGTGGGAGAGGGGGGGCACCAACATCTGACTCAATCGATCTCACTATCGATCTTACTCAACGTGACACCACGGGACACTTGTTGATCTCACTATCGATCTCACTGACGATCTCACTCAACGGGCCACCACTTGACACCACGAGACGCCGCGGGAGACCTCTCGATCTCACCATGGACACCATAGGACACCATAGGACACCTCGGGACACCACATCGATGTCACTTTCGATCTCACGATCGATCTCACTATCGATCTCACTCCACGGGACACCTCGGGACACCTGGCGATCTCACTATCGATCTCATTCAGCGGGACACCACGAGACACCTCGGGGCACCACATCGATCTCACTATTGATCTCACCCCACGGGACACCACAGGACACCTGTGTGTCTCATTATCGATCTCACTATCGATCCCACTTAGCGGGACACCACGGGACACCTCGGGGCACCACATCGATATCAGTATCGATCTCACTATTGATTTCACTCAACGGGACACCACGGGACACCACGGGACACCTGTCGGTCTCACTATCGATCTCACTATCGATCTCACTCAACGGGACACCTCGGGGCACCACATCGATCTCAGTATCGATCTCAGTATCGATCTCACGATCGATCTCACTCAACGGGACACCACGGGACACCCGCGGGACACCGGCAGGGCACCGCGGGGCACTGGCCGCCGGAGGAGTTACATTTGGTCCGGCCGTGGCCCAGCCACAGGAGGATTTCCTTTCGCCCGCCCACGCAGCTTCGCCTTGCCCGCACGCACGCACGGCACGCACGACACGAACCCAACCGAAATCGATTTCCCGCTAGGGGGGGTCTCAGTTTCACGTCGGACTCACTCACCTTCCAACCTCCGAACTTGCATATATATATATATATACAGATATAAATATAGATATCCAGGATAATACCGGGGATCCCAGGTCCCCGGCCAGGCCCCCGGACGCAGGCAACGTATCCGAGATACGGTTTGATTGCCGCTCTCCAGGGCGTCCAAGACTGCAATGTGCTGGGGATGGTGGCCTCGGGAGCGCGAGCGCGCGGTGCGGTAATGTATGATTGGTCCTCGCCTACGGGTCTGGGCCTCGGAAGAGCGAATGCGGTGTGGCGCGTTTCCGGGAAGGGCTTCGCCTTCGAAGGGCCGAGGGGCTGTCGTCTGCTCCTCGGCGGGAGGCCCAGCGGAAAGGCGGGCGGCGGCTCGGTGGGCGGAAGGTCGGGGAGGCGGCGGAAGCAAAAGCGAGAAGCAACACCTTGGGCGAAAGTTGGATGCTGATGTGGCATGTGGCCGCGTATCCCCATCGGCCCATCCAGAAACGATGTCCATGGGAGGTGTCCGAAGAGGGGCGTAGGTAAGCATATAGTGAAGCAGTGAAGCCAACCATGGTGACACTTCCTGGTGCCCCCTTTCGGCTGCGCCCATAGGGGGGGTAGGGAAGGCTTCTGAGAGGCTCTCCTGCGGCTTTGAAGGCGCGGGCCCGATCTGCAGATGGAATGCTCCTAAGGAGCGACCTCCTTCGAAGAAGCCCTTCCCACTCCCTCGACCCCCGTGTGCGCGCCGCCAGTGTTGGATGCATACGCATGTGGCATGTGGCCGCGTGGCTTTTCGGCGCGCGGCCCTCGTTCGGCAGGGCACGCCAGCTCTCCTCGTCTCGGTGTGCTCCGCGTGACTCCCGCCGCGTGTGCTTTTTCCCGCCGCCCGGACCTCGCGGGTGCCTTCGCACGGCGGGTGCCGCTGCCTTTGTGGGCCCCGGAAACGGCAGGGCCGTTTTTTCACCGTTTCCACAGAAAGATCCATTGAACATGGAAACGGCAAAAAAACGGCGACCGGAAACGGCAAACAAAAGGCTCCAGGATTGGAACCGGAGCCGGAACCGGTCAAAAGACGGCGACGGAACCCGGAAAAAAACGGCGTTGGAATCTGCAAAAGAACGGCAAAGCGGAACCAGTAAACAACGGCCTTGTCGTTTCCAGGGCCCACTAAGGCCGCTGCGACCTCCCCCCCCCTCGAGCCCCGAGCGAAGGCATCTCCTGGCGACTCCCAACCACGAGCTCGTGCGGCAGGTGGCGTCCGCCAAGGATCGGCGCCCCGGCAGCGTCGGAGGGGGACGGCCGAGATCTCGGAGTAAGGACCACGCTGGTTTCGCAGGGGGCTCGGGACCCGTGAAGCCTCATGGAGGTGATTCTCGTGCGTTGTTTGTGGATCGCGGCGCAATTGTGGCCGAAAAGGGGATCCGTGCCGCATGCGACTAAGATTTGGTTTGGCAAGTCTTCGTCTATAGGCAGGTGGGCCTGATGCTGTCAGTCCCAGTAAAGGGGGCCCACGATTCCGGTACGGGTCCGCGAGTTGGCAGCCGGCATGCACCTAGCATTGTCCAGACATTGTTGAGCGATGGTTTTGTTGGTTGGCAGAGCATCGAGTGTAGGTTTCTTGGCAGTCGTTGCTCTTGTTCAAACAGACTTCGCGGACTCATGAATCGGGGCGCTTGTATATCCAATTGGACCGTTGAGTGAAGCGTGGATGCTCTAAGAAGATTGTTAGACGCCTCACGTGTACGCGCGCATAAAATTCGTTTCAACTGCTTGGCACCACTTGACTACACCATTAATCTAGGAGTGATGAGTCTCCACCCGTGCGAATCAACTTGGGGATGTGCACATGTGCAGCTGGTTTAGGGCGAAAAGTTTGCTTCGCTTATCTTACCCATCGCCCGCTGGAATATGCGTTCTTGGTTCGAATATTTCAATACGCCTTCTGTTTCAATCATTGAGTGCATTTCCATGTTGTCCTTCCGTTACGGGGTGCAGGTTAAAACCCCTTGTTTGTGTGGGAAATTCTTTGCTACTCCATGTCTCTATCTATCCAACGGCCTTTGGCCCATGCCGCCACCGTGCCTGGGTTGTGGGTATGAAGCCTATTGAATGTTCATTGGGATTTCGTCGGCCTGCCTTTCGGGGTCTCTGGGAGGCAGTTTAGAGGCCCCTTGTGGGCCGTTTCGGGGCCCCTTGGGGCCTCTTTTCGGGCCTCTTGGAGGCCTCTTGGGGCCTGTTTGGGGCCGCTTGGGGACCTCTTGGGGCCTTCTGGGTGCTTCTTGGGGCCTCCCGGGGCCCTTTGGGCGGAAGGCTAAGATTTTCGGTTCGTGTTCCCTCTCTGGAGCTCCTTTCAGGGCCGTCTTGGGGCACTCTTGGGCCGTCTTGGGCGCCTCTGTGGGCGTTCTCAGGCCGTCTTGGGACCCTCTTGTGTTTTTTACCTAACAGCGAAGACTGATAGGTTTCTAGTAGTGTCAACAGAGAGCATCTGGACTCCCCAGGGGGGTCGGGGCGGGTGCCGGGGAGAACCCGCGGAAGTCGTTTTAAGCAAACAGTTACACACTTCGTGGTCTTCGAGGTCCCAGAACTCCATTCCTGGGCATGATTTTGAATGCCCGGAGCCAACTGTAGGCCACTTCGTGGTCTTCGAGTTCCCAAAACTCAAGTCCTGGGCATGATTTTGAATGCCCAGAGCCAGCTGTAGGCCACTTCGTGCTCTTCGAGTTCCCAGAACTCCATTCCCGGGCCACATTTTGAATGCCCGGAGCCAATTGTAGGCCACTTCGTGGTCTTCGAATTCCCAAAATTCCAGTCCTGGGCATGATTTTGAATGCCCGGAGCCAACTGTAGGCCACTTCGTGTTCTTCGAGTTCCCAGAACTCCATTCCCGGGCCACATTTTGAATGCTGAGGCAGGCTGATGTTGAGGCTGAGGCAGGCTGAGGCTGAGGCAGGCTGAGGCTGAGGCCGAGGCTGAAGGCAGACTGAGGCTGAGGCTGAAGCAGGCTGAGGCTGAGGCTGAGGCAGGCTGAGGCTGAGGCTGAGGCAGGCTGATGCTGAGGCAGGCTGAGGCTGAGGCTGAGGCTGATGCAGGCTGAGGCTGAGGCAGGCTGAGGCTGAGGCCGAGGCTGAAGGCAGACTGAGGCTGAGGCTGAAGCAGGCTGAGGCTGAGGCTGAGGCAGGCTGAGGCTGAGGCTGAGGCAGGCTGAGGCAGGCTGAGGCTGAGGCTGAGGCTGAGGCCGAGGCTGAGGCCCAGGCTGAAGGCAGACTGAAGCTGAGGCTGAGGCAGGCTGAGGCTGAGGCTGAGGCTGAGGCAGGCTGAGGCTGAAGCAGGCTGAGGCTGAGGCCGAGGCTGAAGCTGGCTGAGGCTGAGGCTGAAGCAGGCTGAGGCTGAGGCTGAGGCAGGCTGAGGCTGAGGCTGAGGCAGGCTGAGGCAGGCTGAGGCTGAGGCTGATGCTGCTGCAGGCTGAGGCTGAGGCAGGCTGAGGCTGAGGCAGGCTGAGGCTGAGGCGGCTGAGGCTGAGGCAGGCTGAGGCTGAGGCAGGCTGAGGCTGAGGCAGGCTGAGGCTGAGGCGGCTGAGGCTGAGGCAGGCTGAGGCTGAGGCAGGCTGAGGCTGAGGCCGAGGCTGAAGGCAGAGAGGCTGAGGCTGAGGCTGAGGCTGAGGCAGGCAGGCTGAGGCTGAGGCAGAGAGGCAGGCTGAGGCTGAGGCTGATGCAGGCTGAGGCTCAGGCAGGCTGAGGCTGAGGCCGAGGCTGAAGGCAGACTGAGGCTGAGGCTGAAGCAGGCTGAGGCTGAGGCTGAGGCAGCTGAGGCTGCAGGCTGAGGCTGAGGCTGAGGCAGGCAGGCTGAGGCTGAGGCTGAGGCAGGCTGAGGCTGAGGCTGAGGCTGATGCAGGCTGAGGCTGAGGCAGGCTGAGGCTGAGGCCGAGGCTGAAGGCAGACTGAGGCTGAGGCTGAAGCAGGCTGAGGCTGAGGCTGAGGCAGGCTGAGGCTGAGGCTGAGGCAGGCTGATGCTGAGGCAGGCTGAGGCTGAGGCTGAGGCTGATGCAGGCTGAGGCTGAGGCAGGCTGAGGCTGAGGCCGAGGCTGAAGGCAGACTGAGGCTGAGGCTGAAGGCTGAGGCTGAGGCTGAGGAGGCTGAGGCAGGCTGAGGCTGATGCTGAGGCAGGCTGAGGCTGAGGCTGAGGCTGATGCAGGCTGAGGCTGAGGCAGGCTGAGGCTGAGGCCGAGGCTGAAGGCAGACTGAGGCTGAGGCTGAAGCAGGCTGAGGCTGAGGCTGAGGCAGGCTGAGGCTGAGGCAGGCTGAGGCTGAGGCTGAGGCAGGCTGAGGCTGAGGCTGTGACTGCGACTGCCGTTGCCACTGCGACTGTCATCGCGAATGCGACTACGACTGCGAGAAAAGCAGAATTCTACAACTGGATTCTCATGTGAATCTTAAGGGGAATGCTTCCAGATATGCTCCTGCACATCGCTGTTAGGTTGATTTGCCGGGATAATTGAGGTGATCTTGTGGCCATCTTGGAGCGTCGGAAAGCCGAAAAGGCGAGAACGCCAAAATTTGTTCAAAACCAAAAGGAAAGCACAGATTTGTGCTTCCTGGGGCTCTCGTGGGAGGCCTTTTGGGGGGCCTCTTGGGGCGTCTTGGAGGCCTCTTCGGCCGTTGTGAGGCAGGCCATCTTGGGCCGATCTTTGGGTGTCTAGGGACACTCTTGGACCGTGTGGCAGGCCGCTGGGGCCCCCTTCCGGGCCCGAAGAAGTCACGCAGGAGATGCGCTGGAGCCCCGGGGGGCACGCGGGGAGCCCCAAGAGATTCTGGAGTTTCGGGTCCGGGCCCCCGAAAGACCCCTCAGGTTGGAGCACTGAGGCTCTCCAGGGGGTGAGGCAAGGGGCCTGAGGACACGCCCACTCCGTGCCCAGAGGCACGGCGGCGGATGACGGGAGGCGCCCCGGGCGTGGAGCATTTGTTGGTGGTAATCTGTCATGGGGTCCCAGCTGCACTTGGAAATCCGTTGGCGGATGACGCAAAGCGCGCTTAGACTCGAAGAGTCGCGCGATGGACGTTGCATACGGGCCCGGAGGGGAAACATATTATCAAATGGGGGGGACCAGGGGGGGAGTGGTGGCGGGATTCCTCCTCCGCGGCAACGTGGCGGACGACGGGAAGCGCGCTTAGATTCGAAGAGTCGCGCGATGGACGTTGAATACGGTCCGGGAGGGGAATACATTTAGTTAGTAGCGTCCCGCAGATGCGGATAAGAGTGCGGGGACGGTGGGGGACATCGGCAGTTTGCGAGACTCTGGAGAAGCCCGCCGCAGGCGCAAAAGTTCCACAACTTATACAAAGAGCCCGCCGCAAGCGCCGAATTTTTCGCTGATCCAATGTGGGTAGGTCGCGGGTGGGTCGCAATTGGGTCGCATATGGGTCGCATATGGGTCGCGGGTGGGTCGCGGGTGGGTCGCGGGTGGGTCGCGGGTGGGGTCGCGGGTGGGTCGCGGGTGGATCGTTGTTGGGTCGCGGGTGGGTCGCGGGGTGGGTCGCGGGGGGTCGCGGGGTGGGTCGTTGTTGGGTCCCCGGTGTGTCGCGGGTGTGTCGCGGGGTGGGTCGCGGAGTGGGTCGCGGCTGGTCGCGGGTGTTCGCGGGGGGGGCGGGTGGTGAAGCGCAGATTTTTTCGCTGATCCAATGTGGGTAGGTCGCGGGGGTCGCGGCTGGGTCGCGAGTTGGTTGCGGTGGGTCGCGGGTGGGTCGTTGTTGGGTCGCGGGTGGGTCGCGGGGTGGGTCGCGGGGTGGGTCGCGGGTGGTTTGCAAGTGGGTCGCGGGGGGGGTCGCGGGGGGGTCGCGGGGTGGGTCGCGGGGCGGGTCCCGGGTGTGTCGCGGGGTGGGTCGCGGGGTGGGTCGCGGGTGGGTCGCGGGTGGGTCGCGGGTGGGGTCGCGGGTGGGGTCGCGGGTGGGTCGCGGGTCGCGGGTGGGTCGCGGGTGGGGTCGCGGGGTGGGTCGCGGGGGGGGTCGCGCGTTGGGTCGCGATGTGGGTCGTGGGTGGGTCGCGGGGGGGACGACGATAACAAACAACAACAACAACAACAACAACAACAACAACAACAACAATTACTAGCACTTGGGGACACACCGTTCTCACCAGTGCCAGGGTTTTCATAGGAGGCGGGCAATACCCCCACTTTGTGGGGGGGCCGGTTCAAGCTCTACCAAATTTCCAAACGACTCTTCGCCACCACCCACACCCAGCTTCCCGCCCTATGACGTTCGGACACTTCACTTCGTGGCATGCGGACGACCGTGGCTACTATTCAGGGCCCCGCGGCCGACGACGACGGCGTGCGCGCGCGAAGAAAAAACGAATGTGTCCCGCATGGTATTATTTGACAGGGATGATGGCCCTGGCAGGTGCGCAACCGTTGTCGCAGAAGTTCGAAAAAGTTGCTCGCAAAAGCCCGTTTGACAGAAATGTTTAAAAAGTGTTGGGTTTCCTACGAATCCGCAAGAGCGCGCGGGATGAGATTTTGACATTTTTTTGTTGAGAAACCATTGGTTTTTTGATGTTTTTATGTTAAAATCGCTCCGAACACTAAGCTTTTGGAAGGATTTCGTCTTGCGCGCGCGAATGTCCACTTTACCTTATTTTTTGCAAGGGATTCTTGAAATTTGATTATATTAGAACAAGAAATGTCATTTTATAGTGTTTTTTGCAAGGGAAAACGGATTACAACAAAACAACCGGATCTGGACCCCATCCACTTTTCTGAAGCTTTCGCGAAAAAATGATGAAAATGTAGCTGCGGCCTAGGCGCGGCGGGGGGGCCGTGCACCAGGGGTCCCAACAATAATTATTCTTTAGAATTAATAATGTTTAACAACAACAACAACACCAACAACAACAACAACAACAACAACAACAAACAACAACAACAACAACAACAACAACAACAAACAACAACAACAACAACAACAACAACAACAACGACAATGACAGCGACAACGACAACGACAACGACAACGACAACAACAACGACAACAACATCAACAACAACGCAACAAACATAGTTCTCACCACGGATTCTCACTTCAGCCACGCACCCAGGGACAATGAATGACCGTTCGGCCCCCTCACTCTGATCAAGGGGGGGTTCCAGGGGGGAGTGGTGAGTGGATGACGGGAAGCGCGCTTAGACTCGAAGAGTCTCGCGATGGACGTTGCATACGGGCTGGGATGGGAATACATTTAACAAGTGGGGGGTCCGGGGGGGAGTGGTGGGTGGATGTCGGGAAGCGCGCTTAGACCCGAAGAGTTGCGCGATGGACGTTGTTTACGGGTCGGGAAAGGAAAACCGCGGAGCACCCCGCAGATGCGGATAGGAGTGAGGAGGCGGTGGGGGACATCGGCAGTTTGCGAGACTTTGGAGAAGCCCGCCGCAGGCGCCACAGTTTCACGAACTATACAAGGAGCCCGCCGCAGGCGCGGATTTTTTCGTTAAACCAATGTGGGTAGGTCGCGGGTGGGTGGCAAATGGGTCGCGGGTAAGTCGCGGGTGGGTCGTTGTTGCGTCGCGGGTGGTCGCGGGTGTAGAGGGCAGAAAATCCACCCTTGAATAATCACCCCTACCAGCGAAGCCGTTCAGTAAACGCACACAAGGAATCAATCGAACAGGGCAAGACTGTTCAGTCAACGCCCGGGTCCGTTTTAGTAAACGTCAATTGTCCTGTCCGGGTGTTCTTTCTTCCCTTGGGTGGATCGCGGGGCGGGTCGCGGGTGGGTCATGGGGTGAGTCGCGGATGGATCGCGGATGGGTCGCGGGGTCGGTTGCGGGTGGGTCGCGGGGTGGGTCGCGGTTGGGTCGCGGGTTGGTCGCGGGGTGGGTCGCGGTTGAGTCGCGGGTTGGATCGTGGGTGGGTCGCGTGGTGGGTCGCGGGGTGGGTCGCGGGGTGGGTCGCGGGGTGGGTCGCGGCGTGGGTCGCGGGTGGGTCGCGGGGTGGGTCGCGGGGTGGGTCGCGGGGTGGATCGCGGGTGGGTCGCGGGTGGGGTCGCGGGGGTGGATCGCGGGGGGGACGACGATAACAAACAACAACAACAACGACAACAACAACAACAACAGCAACAACAACAGCAACAACAACAGCAACAACAACAACAACAACGACACAACAAGCAGATATCTCACCAGTAATCCCTTATTCATCTACGCACCCAGGGACAATGAATGACCGTTCGGCCCCCTCATTCTGACATCTATCACGCGGGGGGTTCCAGGGGAGGACTGGTGGCGGGATCGCTCCGTTGTAGGAGATTTGGCGGATGTCGGAAAGCGCTTTTAGATTCGAAGAGTTGCGCGATGGACGTCTGCGGGCCCAGAGGCATACATTTGTCAATTGGGGAGGTCCAGCAGGGGAACGCGCGCCGCGCACCCGCCATCGGGGTCCTGGCGGGTGACGGGAAACTCGATCTGAAGGCCTTGGCTCGAGCGGTTCTGGCGTCTTTTCGTGTCTGCGGGGTCGCAAGCCCTTGCGCAGCATGATCATCAGTCGATGGCGGCACTTGTCATGTTTCGATTCTCTTTTGCGCGTCGTCGCTAGCCGAAGTTGACTGCCCTGGAGGGCCGAGCGCTCGGTGACGGCACGGCCACCGTGGAGTTCCGTGTCGCAGGATGACTACTATGACGGGAGCGAGCCAGTGCACAGCATATGGAGCTATCACCGTGCCCACCGTGCTATGCTCGCCAGAGGGCGGGTGTGGCCTGCGGTCGAACTTCATGAAGGCCAGGACGTTGCGGCACCCTCCAACTATGTGGTTACCTCCGACGGCGACACAGCTTACTCGCCTGAAGCTCGGATCCGGGATCGCCCCGATCACATCATCACGCCATCCCCGCGGCTAGAGTCCACGCGGATTGCTTCGCGGGGCGGTATCAGAGTTACACAACGGTGGCAGCTGGGACAACCGGTGGGTATACGTATGCAGTGTTCCTCTGTGGCTGGCGCGGACGAGGGAATCCGTTTTTCCGCTGTCGCAGACGTGGAGGAGGACGTGGCCGATAACAGTTTGCTGCAGATCCCTGCGGCACCCCAGGCGGCGTCCGCTGCCAGCTAGAAAGTCCATCAGAAGAACCCGTTCCAGGCGCTGCGCTGCTGGATCGGAACGACTGACCGCCACCGTGTGCTGAGCGAATCCATCGCACAACCCCGTGGGGCGTCGAAATGGCAGGAGCTTGCGGGACTTGTGATCGACGACGTCCATGCTCCTGTCTGCGCCGCGAGCTCAAAGAAGTAACGCGGTAGACTTGGAGGTCGGGTATTTTTCAGGTGGTCCCATCAGGTTGCATGCGCCAGTGTTCAGTTATTCCGTAAAGCTTGCCGCAAGCGCTTGGTTAGTTTTAGGTTGTTCCAGCTTTTGTGCCTCCTCGTCCGCCCTCGTTCCTTCTTGGCCCGCTGCGCTGGTGACTTTGAGTTTGGCTCGGCCCGCAGCCCTGCCCTCGGACGGCCTGGGGCGTTGCCGACTTCGCATTGCTGGTGCGGCTCCCGTTATGCTGCGCTATACTTATCCTGCACACGCTGCGTTGCGCCGTTTGAAAACCACTGCTCGCCGCCAGCCCGTGGCCAGAGGGTCGCGTGCTGATGTGCGGGCTTCCCACCGGGTGGTGGTATGCTCGTACTTTGCGTCCGTGGACGCGCACACATGCGCGCGCCGACTTTGCGGCTGGCTTTGTGCATGCTCGCGAGACCTCTGCGTTTGGGTTGCGTCTTCAGAAAAGCTCGTTCAGACTCGAAGAGACGCGCGATGGACTCTGCATCCGGCCCCGGAGGGAAGATCTGAACCGAGTGGGGGGGTCCAGTGGGGAACGGTGGCAAGAGTGCTCTTCAGTCGCGACCTGGCGGATCTAGAAAACAAGCGTTTCGCTTGAGATATCCGGTTCAGATGGCGATCGTTGGGGTCGTATCCTTCGACACGTCGTGTTAACATGAGCGCGTCGCCCGAGACATCACCAGAACATGGGGATGTTGAGATCGTTGGCCTTATCTTCGAACTGGCCGATTCGCCTGAGACATTTTCGAAACAAGGGATGCGCCAAGAGCTGGGTGGATACATCTGTCTGAAGGTTTTTGGGATGACACCCATGATGGCCCAATGAGCGAACCGTCGCCATTCGGGCGCAAACCATTTTGGCTCAAGGCCGCGGCGCAGGGGAATCGAGGCACGCCCACGCGCACGAGCCTCGCCTTCGATGACTTGCGTGGGGAGCGGCCAGCAAAACACCGACCTGTGCTAGTGCACGTCCGTGCGCTGGTGTGCGTCGAGTGGAGAGATGGCGCGAGCATGGGCATTCCCACGGTCGCCGATGAGGCGCAGATCACCTGCCATACAGTGATAATTATGCATTTTTGGGTGCGCGTTGCTGTTCGTGTGCATATTGATTCCAACGAGCACGATGTGGATGCCATGGGAGACTCATACGGCGTATGTTCACAGTTTCGTTGCAGGCGTTTCGTTGATGTCATGCATGGTGGTCGTTCCTATCTACATCACGGTTTGGCGCTGGATGTCTACGTCGGACCACCTTTTGGCGATTACAATGCTGGCGTTGTTGTTGGTATTGCTTCAAGTTTTGCTAGAATTGAGTGGAGTCATATTTGGCGAACTGCTTCGCACATCGCCCCACATCTCGGGCACCTGTTCTGGGTACTATATGTTGAGTTCGTGTTGGGTCTCTTGGGAGTTGGGATCTTTATGAGCACGATGAGATCTGCCCTTGCAGATTCGTTTTCCACTGTGTCAGTAATGGCCATGTCACGGCTCGTGGCCTCCACGCTGGGAGGTATGCACCAGGCGCGGGCGTTTTCTTGGAGCAGCGAGTGGTCTTGTTTCTGGAAGCCTATGTTTCGTTGGCTTCCAAGATGCGTGTTCACCGTAACAGGTACTGCACTCATCCATAGACTTTGCGTTTGGGAATACGTTTGCTCTTGAAGACCAAGCAGTGCGTTTGACGACGTCAGGTGAGAGTCGCACTGTGCCTAACCCTCTTTTCCGTGACCATCTTTAAGCGTTTGAGAACCAGTGGTGTCTTTGACATAGTGATTGGCTTAATTCGTTGTGCAACCCCCGCAGTACTCAGTATGGTCACGTGGCGTTTGTTGCCAATGGTCTGGAAATGCGAACGCACCTCTCAGCGAAACCGGATCTCTCCAGAGCTTGTAGGCGCCCAGTCGTGCCGAACCATTTGCACCACATTTCCTTCACATCACAACGATGACGTCGAAACCTCGGCCAGTTCGAATCCATCGTTCGGAAACAGGATAAAGCTGATCCCAGCTGCGGTGAAAACGAGGCTCCAAGGAGGTCAGACACAGGCTCTGGTTGGCTCCCTGCAGACTCGCACGGCACTGTGGCTTCTAGTCAGGTCCGTTTGCTGCGAGTTTTTGCCAGTGACAATTTGAATAACCTTGTGACCTTCTGGTGTTTCACGATGTGCTTGGTGATACTGATGATGAGCACAGTAAACGCTCTGACAGATTTTGCCTGACTCGCGACTGTGAGCCGGAACGTAGTTTGCACAGCCGGCCTCTGTGGCCGAGGTGCTAGCGTTGGAGCTGCTTCTGCAGCAGGATCACAATAGATATTCACTTCAGACTGGGAAGCGTCCTCCACGCACCGTCGGTGAGATCTCAATATTGTCCATTGACTGCTTCGCCTGCGCCTCCGTTCCTCCTGTTCCTCTTCTGCCTCTCCGCCTCCCTGGGGCGGGTCATCACGGCAGGTGTCAGCCGCGCGCAGAAGGGGGGAGGGGGGAGGGGGGAGGGTTTCTTAGAAGCACCCCTGCTTCTTAGAAGGCGCGGGCCTTCCCTATAGATGTAAGGCCGGCGCCTTCAAAGAAGCAGCCTCCTTCTAAGAAAGCCCCCCCCCCCTCCCCCCACCCCGCTGTGCGCGCCGCCAAAGGTGTTCGATCGAGCCCCGGCCTGGGCCGATCCCGCCTGCTGCCCTGCACGTGCCCCTTCTCTGCGCTCGAGCTCATACGCGGCCAGCGCAGGCCCTGGCATCGCTTGGACGTGTGCATTTTTTTCTCGGCGAGAACCATCGAGGACCATCCTCGACCAACGAGCAAAAAAAACACGCACGAAACCGAAACATGCACGGGAAATGGACGTCCGAGCGACGGCGAGAGGCTTGATTCCCCCCTGTTCTACTTGTCGCCGCCGCGGCCCCGCCGCCTCGCCTCTCCTCAGGGCCGTCCCTCGGAACGAGCAGGCGCAGTGTCCAGGGTCTCCAGTGTTCTGTCCCTCGCCCCTGGCTGCTTGTGCTGGCGTGGCCGATGCCGCGCGCGCGCTGGCCTTGGAGCAGGACGCAGAGTACCACGGACACCCACGCTGACAGATAGTGCAGGGGTAAGTTGCGGATCTTAGCAAACAAAAAAAGATGGCCCAAGAAGCGAGAGGATGAAACGCACACGGTGTCCCAACAGTTTTATTTAAAAGTATGTGCGTCTTTCGTAGCACCCCCTTAGACATGCCTTCGAACGGGTCCTTGAGATCACCATATCATGATGCACATGCCTATGTAGGTTAGGGTCTGTAGAGTGAGGGTCTGTAGGGTAAGAGTCTCTAGGGTTACGGTCAGTAGGGTTAGTAGGGTCTGCAGGATTAGATGTTTGTGAACGCTGGGGGAGCGCGTGTCCATAGGTATCCGTTGTGGACGATCGGAGAGTTCGCCTACAGTACATTTGATCTTGATCATGCTGCACGTGTGTGCGCAACTCATCGCTTTCACGCGCCTCCCGTTCATGCCAGGAAAGGTTCCGATCATGAGTGTTTCTTGGAGGTCGTATCTTAACACGTCTTAGGCTAACAATGAGCGTTTCGCCTGAAGAATGAGGATGTTGAAATCGATGGCTGGATGTTCGGATCTTCTACAATGAGTGGTTCGCCTGAGACATCGTTGAAAAAATGGGATGCGAAAAGAGGTGTCTTGAGATATGTCGTCGGAGCGTTTTTAGATGATCTCCAAGATGGCCCAGGAAGCGCGAACACAAATAGAGGTCGGTTCGAGCACTTGACTTGAAACATGAGTAGTCCGATCGGAAAATCCACTAAATGCCTTTGGACGGGTCCTCGACAACGTCATGTTATGAAAGACACTGTTCACGATGATGGTGATGATGATGATGATGATGGTGATGGTGATGGTGATGGTGATGGTGATGGTGATGATGATGATGGTGATGATGATGATGATGATTGTGATGGTGATGGCGATGATGTTGATGTAGATGATGATGATGATGATGATGATGATGATGATGATGATGATGATGATGATGATGATGATGATGATGCTGCTGATGATGATGATGATGATGATGATGATGATGATGATGATGATGATTAATATTGTACTGGCCATCATCTAGATCATGATCATCAGCATAGTGATGGTGTTTGTGATGATGATGGTCCTGTTAATTACAGTGGTGATTATGATGATGATGATAATGGTGTTGGTGCTTCCTATGATGATGATGACGATGTTGGAGATGATGGCGACGACGACGATTATGATGATGCTGATGCTGATGCTGATGCTGATGCTGCTGATGATGATGACGACGCCATGGTGCTGGTGATGGTGTTGGTTATGGTGTTGGTGCTGATGATGAGGATAGCGATGATGATGAAAATGAGGGGGGCGACGGATTCAACTGGAGGAGTACGGAGGAGTGAGGAAGATAATCAGAACAACCTTGTGAATGTTCGGGGAGCATGTGTCCATAGGTATCCCCTGTGGACGTTCGGAGAGCTCGTCCACATTAGGTTTGGTCTCGATCATCCTACACGCTCCTGCGCAGCTCTTCATGCCAGGAACGGCTTCTGGAAAACTGCCGTTTCGCTTGGGCAGCCGGGAGCTCCGAGTCAACATCGTCTTATAATCGCTCTGGGACAAGCCCAACCGTGGCCCAACCGAGCGCCCAAGAGGCCCCCCCCGGGGGGCACAGCGGGGACCCACGGAGGCCCCCAATGGGAGCCCCGCGAGGCCCCCAGCCGGCCCGAAACAGCCCAAGATGGCGCCATGACGACGCTCAGATAGCCAAAGAAGGCCCCAGCAGAACCCTAAGATACGCCCAGATATCCCTAAGACGCGCCCAGAACGAGGCGAGAGATCCCCCACAGAACCCTAAGACGCGCTCAGATAGCCCAAGAAGGCCCCAGCCGCCCCCGAGAGGATCCCGACGGGCCCCCGAGAGGCCACAGGATGCCCCAAGGTGGCCCCGGGTGGCGCCAACAGCCCCCAGGGTAGCCTCAACAGATCACGAGCATCCCCCCTTCTTCGACGTCCTTTTCCTCGGGCCCCTTGCCGTCCGTCGTCGTCGTCGTCGTCGTCGTCGTCGTCGTCGTCGTCGTCGTCGTCGTCGTCGTCGTCCGTCTTCGTATTCTTCTTCTCCTCCTCCGATTCGTCGCCTCGTCGTCGCCATCATCTTTTTCCTGTGTCCCCCTACGAGCGCAATGGACAGAATCGGAGCTTCCCGCTTTTGTCCGATCAGGTTTTCGATGAGCGATGGGTAGCGGTCTGGATGCCGAGGGCCGTTCCCACATATGCGAGATCCTCTGGACATGTTCCCCATAGGGCATCCGCGTCAAGCTTCCTTGTCGCCCCCCTTGGACGGGGCCAGTCGTTCTGGACCGAGCGGAGCGCGAGACGAGTCGAGCCCGGAGGTTTGGCATTGCCGCCGCCGCGAGGAGTTCGCCGAGTGGGACAGCGTCCGGGCCCTGGACGAGCAGTTCGTGGAGTGCGAGTTTCAGGCCCGCGCGCGTGCAGCGCGGCGACTTCGCAGGGCTGGCAAGAGTCAAGAAGTTCCGAACCAGTCAAGAAGTGGCGAACCGTTCTGACCTGGGCCCACCAAAACAAGTTTTGAGGATCGTTCGTGGTTTGCGACATGTTCTCAAAGCAGCCCTTGCTGAGAAAGCTAAAAACATTGTTTTTTTATGCATTCTGACAACATGTCTTGGTGGGCCTGTTGGAATGCCAGGACTGTCCGTGTTTGCTGAATACAATGGGGGCAGGGCATGGGGGATTTCGAGGATCCAGACATATTCGCTTCGTGGGACATCACGGCCGGAGTTTTTTGGGGCAAACTACTGTTTCCGTGGGCCCGCACCGTCCCAGGGAAGAGGTCCAGACCATTGGGGTGGATACTGTGCGCACAGATCACGACGCCGGATGTCTGAGGATCTAGTTAGGTGTTTTGATGTGTTTAGATATTTGTTTGGCTTCCCTGGAGCGCCTGAGTCGCCCTGACTGGACGCGGCTCGAACAAGTATGCCAGGATGGGCCCAAGGGCCCCGTCTGGAAACCGCATTCTTGTCGGGCGGGACAGGGCGAGGCGAGAGCTTATCGTCTCTTGGAAGCAGCCCTGTTACATGTTTCGTTTGGGGGACCTGTCTGGGGCCCTCCTAACGGATCTGCTTGACTCTTGTTTGATTCTAGCTCGACTCAAGTCGACGGCCGTTCGTTGCAGCGTCTGTGGGTGAGTGGAGGGAGTTGCTCCAGGAGGGTCCCCAGAACGAGCATCTAACCCAGAACCCCGTAGCATCGACTTTCTCATGAAGTGGACCCCTGAGGTCTGGAACCCTTCCTGGGGAGCGGCCTTTCATTCCGCGTCGCTCCTACTACGGCCCCGAGGCCTGGGAGGGCCCCGCAGAGGCCGAAAACAGCGAAGCACTTCCCGTCATGATGGCTTCACGACGTGAGGGTGTCCGGGAAGTCCTGGCTTCCCGGAGATTTTCTCAGAGGCGCTCGAGGTGGGGCCCGCAGGGGCCTCTCCCTGAGCCCTGCTCGAGTGACCAGGGACTGAGGAGCTGGTCCCCGGGGGGCAGCGGAGCTGGTGAACAGTTCCCACCACCATCGGCGACGCTTGTCGCAAGGCGGTTGGGAGATAATGCGCCGACGTGCCACCGCAGGGGTACACACCTCCCAGCCACCATGTGACAGGCGTCCGCGATGGCGGAGAAGTATATTGTGTACCGCTCCCCGCACGCTAAGGCTAGGGGGTCCTGGGGGCTTGCAGACGCTATTCTCAGCGGCGACGCGAGGGTTTGCACATGTTGGGAAGCCCTCTCCCTGGCGGCGTCGGGGAGGCGGTCCTGCCTCCCGACACCATCGCAGGGCCAGGAGATGGGATCGCTTTGCAGCTGCTGTTTCCGAATCCAGCACAGCAGTCAAGCACACCGTGGCCCAGCACACCAGATGAGGTCTTGGCGTTGATGTCGTGGGCCTCGCCAGGGTCCCTCGCCTCCTCTCTTCCTCCGTCCCCTCCCTCCCCCCTCCCCTTGAGAGGCGTCCACGTGCGAACCCTACCCCCTACCCCCCACGGCTTCTGAGGGGGAGGGTGGGCTTCGCTCCGCTCGGGAGCTCCCGAGCGAAGCGAACCCCGCCCTCCCCCTCAGGAATCGTGGGGGGGGTAGGGGGTAGGCCTCGCACGTGCCCCCCCCCCCCCCCCCCTCGTCGTGGCTTCGGGGCGAGGCGTCCGGCCTCTCCGGGGGGCGGCCGCCGCGCCAGAGAGCTCGGGCGGCACGCCCCGGCTGCGCGGGTCGTGCGAGGAGGGCCCGCGGGGCGCGCCACGGCCTGCGGGTGCGACCGGCCGGGCTCTCCCGCTCTTTGCTGCGAGTTGGATTTTCGTTGGGCTTCGTGCTCCTCTTGGCATCGCTCGGACGTGTGCCTTTTTTTCTCGGCGGGGACCATCGAGGACCATCCTGGACCATGGAGCGAGGAAAAAACACGCACGAGATCTAAAAGTGCACGGGACATGGACGTCCGAGCGACGGCAAGTCATTTGCAGCTTCGCCCCGTCACTCAGGGGTTTGGGCTCTGACTGCACGCCACCGCCTGGAACACTGGGGTGTGTCATGGTTTTCCCTGCGTTCCTCCTCCCTCTCTTTTCTGTCGAGAGAGCCGGACGCTGCGAGGAACCTGACCTCCAGCGGCTGCCGCCTGCGGTCGCATCGTCTCATATCCTTGCCACCTGGCCTGCTGTGGAAAAAAGGAGCATCTCCTTGCTGCTCTCGCATTCTCCCCTTCGCAGGATAGGTTCACAGTGCCCCACCGTGTGGCTGAGGTGTGCGTGGCCGTCCGTGGCGCGGCTCGGCTTCTGCCCGCCCTGCCAGAGCCCTGCCAGAGCCGCGCGTTGCTTGCGTGCTGTGTCCCTCGTCGTGCCTGCCCGGCTGCGGAGGGTTTCTCCGAAGGGCTTCGGCGACCCGTCCACCTCCTCCTCCTCCTCCTCCTCCTCCTCCTCCTCCTCCTCCTCATCATCATCATCATCATCATCATCATCATCATCATCATCATCATCATCATCATCATCATCATCATCCATCCATCCTCCTCCTCCTCTCCTCCTCCCTCCTCCTCCTCCCTCCTCCTCCTCTTCCTCCTCTTCTCCTCCTCTTCCTCCTCCTCCTCCTCTCATCTCCACCTCCTCCTTCTCCAATCTCCTCCCCCTCCCCTTCCTCCACCTCCACTTAATTATCCTTATCCACCTCCCCCTCCCCCCCTCCCCCTCCTCCTCCTCCTCCTCCTCCTCCTCCTCCTCCTCCTCCTCTCTCCTCCTCCTCCTCCTCCCTCCTCTTTCCTCCTCCTCCTCCTCCTCCTCCTCTCCTCTTCCTCCTTCTCATCCTCCTCCTCCTCCTCCTCCTCCATCTCCTCCCCCTCCCCCTCCTCCACCCCCTCTTCCTCCTTCCTCCTCCTCCTCCTCCGCCTCCTCCGCGCTTGTTGATTGTGTGTGTGTGTTGCGCAGCCCGTGCCTAAAGCCAGCCGCCGTTCGGCCGCATTGGGCCTCGCGTTTCTTCTCCGTCTTTCCCTCCCTTGCGCTCTCTTCTTCTCGCCTATTTCTGTTCCTTTCGCATGCGGCAGTTTCACCCATCCTGCAGGCCCCGACTCGGCGCATGTGCTCACATCACCCCCTCAACGGATCCTCCAGTGGGTACCCCCCCGAGGTCGGGCGTCGCCGTTTCCCATTTTCTCGGGGAGCGCACTAAGTCTTCGCCGGATCTTTCGTCGCCGTTTTTTGTCCGGGGTTCCTCGGCGTTCTTTTCGGGCGCGTGATGCGGACCGCGGCTTGCTCGCGGGCCTCCTTGGGGCGCGTGGACTCATGGGGGTCGCCGCCGAAGGTCCCAGTGTCAGGGTTCACATATGTCCCCTGGCAAATTTGGGTACGCGCACACGCACACGGTTCGTGGCCTAATAGGGAGCTTCACCGAAGCCTCAATAGCAGGGCCCACCTGCGTCCCAAGTCCAGTTCTGGCACGCCCCTCACGCTGTGCGTGGTTCCATATGGAGATTCAGAGAGTTTCACCGAAGGCCCTCGTGGCACGGTTTGCATGCGTCCCGGTAAGTGTTTTGGCGAGTCGTCGTCGCTGTTTTGTTCGAAGAGGTTAACTGAAGGGTTGCGTTTTGCTCGCCCTTTTTTTTGTTGGGGTGGGTTTGTGTGGGGCGAGTCGCGTCGCCATTTCTCGGTGACACTCGGTAAGTGTGCAGGAATTGAATTATCTTCGCTGATTTTTCTGAGCGGATGGGTTGGATCAGAATAAAGGGGAGTAATGTGCTCACCTATCGCATGTCGGTTCGTGTGGTGTTGTTCCCGGTTTGCCTGGCGACTTTTTGATTCGCACAGCGGTCCAGCCCGAGTGGGGTGAAGTTGTGTGTGTTCGTGCTCCTTCCCATATATAGATACACCTATATATATATACATATATGGGTGATATATATATATATATATATAGAGAGAGAGAGAGAACAAACAAACCAATAACACATAATACAGATATATAGTTCTATACACAACACTGCTACTGCTTCTAGCAGGACTCCAACTTCCAAGAAGGGCGAGAACCGTTCAGTGGATGACAAGACAAGCAGGTCTAGAATCGGGGGCGGCGGCCACAGCCAAATCCTCGGAACCAGATTTCGGGGGCCCGGGGTTCCTCAGGTCCCTCCCAGGTGCTTCCTCGGCTGATCCGCGCAGCATCTGGCCGCAGCGGAGTCCAAACATGTGATCCTGTCCGTGTTTCAGTGTTGCTGATGCCAGGAGCTTGTTTGTGTGCGCGTGCCGATCCTGGCTGCGCCGCGCGCTCGGTACACTCCTCGCGCAGCTTGCGCACGATGCCGCTGCTGCTGGGGTGCGCTTTGCTCAGGTTCGGGAGTTCACTCGCGCGGCATTGCCCCCACCCCCCCCCCGTCGCCGCCATTTCGCAGACGGACGTGAAGCGCGTGGTGCTGCTCATCTACTCCTGAGGTTGGCCACGCGAGATGCATGGAACGATCTAGAGCAAGATTTCCATCAGGCACTTTAATATGTAGTGGGTGTTTCGGCCCCAACCCGCGGCACCTACAGGGAGCGCGATGCGGGTCGCAGTCGCAGTCGCCACCCCTTTTTGCCGCCATTCCAAAAAAAGCTGGGCCTGAACGGCGTGCAAGTGAGTCCCGACTCGCTCGAAGTCGAGATGTCCTTTCGGGTTTCACAACGCCCCCCCTCCATGCAAGTAAACCCGCCAGATTCTACAGTGTGATCGATCGACCAGCTAGCTGATCGATCGACTGATCGCCGCGGAGGTCTGCATGTGCGCCATCTCCATAGTGCGGTTCCTGACGGACCACCGCGTGGCGGTGCCCTTGGCCGTCACCACCCGGCTCCTGGAGACGCACGACGTCCTCCTGCTGCTCGTGCCTCTCATGGAAAAGGCCGGGAGAAGGATTTAGAGGAGGACAAGGTATCGGTACGCTACTTTTGCGTCGTGTTCGGCTTTGTCGGCTTGCTGGGAGGCCCTCGTCGCCACTGTTAGATTCGCTTCAAAATGTTGGTCAGAGCGCACCTTGGGAGAGGTCTGGGGAGTAGCGGTATCTGGGGTGTTCGGTTCCCCGAGGATCGAGGAGGTGCTCGTTGGCCTTCTTGTGTGGTAGTTCTGCCCTTCCTCGCTCGTCTTGCCTGTCTACTCTCTCTTTCCCATGATGCCTCTTGAGTTCCATCTCTCTTCCTCACGCTCTGTGAGTCTTCTCAGGCTCCCTCATTCGACGATCCCTGATGGGGGCAAGCGTTTAAGAAGATGCCCCACCCCCCCACCCCCCGTGGCCGGTGGGCCCAAAATGAAAAGGAAATTGTTTTTTAATCGTCTGCCCCTCTGTCGTTTTACTTTGCCGCCTTGCGGAAACTGATGTTCTATTTGTCCCTTGCGCTCGTTTGATCACCCGCGGCCGCGGGAGGAGGATTGCGGAGAGGGGGCGCCAGAAGCGCCGCTAGGGAGTCCCAGGCCAGATCCAGGAAATCCACGGAGGACCGCCGAAATTTTCTGTTTACGCAGTTTTTTCTCATCCCCGACTTACGAACCAACCTGAGACGGCACCTCTTCGGGGAAACATGGCGATGCAGAAGGAATGGGCGCGCAGGCTGAGGAGCAAAGGACGGTGGGATGGCAGACGCGGCCATCACAGCGGCTGGATCAATTTGTGCGCCCACTGGTCCTTTGAATGTTGCGTTGAGAGTCCTGACCTCTTGCGTTCAGCTGGGTGCTTATTCGACTGATTCAGCGATGTGCAAACGATTTTTACGATTTCGTCCGCCTGTCTTGTTATTGTAATATGTGTTCGGTGGTTCTTCGACTCACTCAGTGTGATGTGCGTATCATTTTTCCGGTTCTACAGGCTTGCGCCACATCTGCCGACCCTTCTATAAATTCTAGACGCTTCGCGTATCCCCACCAGCCCGTCCAGAAACGACGCCCAGGCGAGTAGAGGGTCGTCCTGAGGGGCTTTTCGGCGTCTTGGGTGCCTCGGGGGGGCCTCTGTGGGCCGTTCGGGATCCTCTTTGGGGCCTCCTGGGGGCCTCTTGGGGCCTCTTGGGGCCATCTTGGGGCCTTTGGGGGCCTCCTGGGCGCTCTTGGGGGCCTCTTGGGGGGCCTCTTGGGGCCATCTTGGGGCCATCCTGCGGCCTCTTGGGGCATCCTGGGGGCCTCTTGCGGCCATCGTGGAGGAAATCGATCAAAGAAGAGGGGAGCCTTAATTAGCGTTGCCCCCTGAGAAGGCCAAAATGGGGCCAAAACCATAGTAAAATCAATGTTTTTGGCTTCCTCGCCGAGGCCGTTTTGGACGCTCTGACCGCTCCCCGCCCCTCCTGTCCAGGTCAGTGGGGAGGGGGTAGGGGGAGGGGTAAACCCCTCCCCGAAGGGGAAGAGGGAGGGGTGGAAGAGGAAACGCGTTAAACCACCGACGCCCGGAGGGCTGGTGGGATTACTACGCGTCCGCGAATGCATCCCACGAGGCTTGTCCGATTCCTGGGAGGTTCTTGGGGGCGTTTGGGGGTTCTGTTCGGGCCCCCTGGGGGCTTATTTGGGCGTGTTGAGGGCTTCTTGAGGCAACCTGGGGGGCGTCCTGGGGCCGAAGGCTGGAAATGTGGGTTCGGGTTCCCGGGCGTTTGGGAGGCATCCTGGGCCGTCTGGGTGCCATTTTGGGTGTGTTGGAACGATCATTCGGCGATTCGGGGCCCTGTTGGATCGTCTTGGGGCCCACTTGGGGCCCTCTTGGCCCGTTTTGGGGCCCTCTATACTCCCATGGCGCGTTCGTGCGGGGCAGGTGGGAGGGGTCAAATCTCTGGTTTCGGATCCTTGGGGGGGGGGTATGGGGGGGAACGATCTCACATGCCTAGAGACCCACAAGGGGTCGGCGGATTTTGTCTGCTTGTCTCGCTATTGTCATATATGTCCGGTGTTCCTGCGAGCGCCAGGGAGTAGCTTCGGTGGCCTCCGTCTTTTCGGAGGGGGCACGCCCCGGAGGGTGGACCGCGAGGTTGCCCCAGGGGACGCTGCATACCTGGACTTGGTGGTGTAGAGGTGAATCATCCGCATGCTTTCCTCCATCAGCACACGTTTGATTTCCCAATATGGCATCCATTGTTTCTGGAAACAGATCCGCGCCAAACCAGCGAGTACTTAACTACACAGTACGCGGAGGGGCGCAGGCAACCTTCCGGAGTTCATCGGGGGAGAGAGGGCATGGTATTCAGATTGAGTAAGTGTAGAGGAACAGTAATTAGGAGGGGGAAAGTGACAAGGGATAGGAAAGCGAGGGGAAGGAGGAGGAGGAGGAGGAGGGGGAGGATAATAGGACGAGGAGGTGAGGAAGGACGTCGTTGTATGAACGCGGCGCAGAAGAATGCTTGTTTTCCGCGCATTGCTGGCGGATCTGAAATTGCCATTTTCCACTCAGAGATGGCCAAAAGCAACCCCCGCGGCCTCGAATTGTCGGCCCCTGTGGAGTCGAACCATCAGCCTGCGAAGTTGTTCCCAGCTTTCGCTCTGGAGGGGTCTTTTTAATTAAAAACAAAACACACATTTGCTCCCATGACCTCCTCTGCGTTCTCTTCCTCTTCCGCAGACTCTGCACTCTTACATTCAACCCGCATAGTCAGGATGATCGACTTCCTTAGGGGTGCCCTTGCATCCTTGCCTCTTCGGTCATCGTCGGTCCATCCTCAACCACTTGCGATGGCCAGGCCCGCCCGAAGTGCCCCGGCATGGGCGTCCAAGGTACTTGCATCCTTACCGCGCATCCCTGTGATACGGATTGGCCGTATATTTCCTCCTCCCCATCCTCATCCTCTTCCTCATTGTCCTTCTGCCATTTCGCTCCGTGCGCCTCCCCTCTTCCCCCCTTCCCGCTTTCATCGCCATCCTGATCGTGCCTTTTTCTTTTCGTTATTTAATCGTTTCGTTCATTCCGCCTGCCCATGTAGCCTCATCTCTGCCGCTTGCCCGAGGGATCGTTGTCAATGCGGCGCTGCTGGGGTCCCGAGGAGTCTGTGGATGGCGTGTCGTGGCACGATTGGACTCGATGAAGGTCATCGTCAAGAAGTTTGTGTGGGAGGCTTCGTGGGGCTGCGTGGTTGTGTGGGTTCGAGGCCATTCGGATGGCTGATGGGGTCTCGTGGGAAGCTTCCCAGGAGCGTCTGGAGCGCAGTTCTTGCGCCTCTTGGGGGCCTCCCGGGGTCCTCCTGGGGGCTTTGGCTTGGATTTTCGCATCGCGTTCCCCCTCTTGGGCGCCTCTTGGGCCGTCGTGGGGGCCCCTTGGGCCGTTTTGGGCGCCTCCTGGTCCTTCTTGGGGCCGTCTTGGGCTGTCCTGGGCGCCTCTTGGGCCGTCTTGGGGCCCTCTTCGGCCGTGTTCGGCCCATCTTGGGGGCCTGTTGGGCCGTCTTGGGGCGATCTTGGGAGTCTCTCGGCAGTATTGGACGCTCTGAACTCCCAAGAGTCGCAAATGCGGAAAACGCACGTTTTCGTTGAGAAATGAAACGATTTTGGGTTGTTGAGACTCTCTTGGACGGCCTCTTGAGGCTCTCTTGGGGCTTCTTGGCGGCGGCTTGGGCCGTCTGGAGGTCATCTTGGGCGTCTTGGAGCGGTCTTGCGGCGACCCATGGCCTTTCGGACAGTTTCGGGCGCGTCTCGGGGCTCTTTTGGAGCGTTCCTGGGGCGCTCTGGAAAGCCTGGAAGGCAGCGCCGAGGACGAAAACCATCTCCGGGACCCACTCGGCTGGGACCTGCTCGGGGTACTTTTCGCCCGGGGGCCCCCAGGGGCCGCCCCGCTCGCGCGAATTAGAAGACTATCAACCAGTCACTGGAGATCTTAGCACGCCTCTGGCCGGTGGGCCGACGAATTCTCCAGATGTTTTCTTTCATGTTCTCTCTCTCTGACGCTCTCTCTCTCTCTCTCTGTCTCTTTCTTTCTCCATCTCCATATTCACCTCCAGCTTCCTCGTCATCTCTCTTCTTGTCTGCCCCCTTCTTCCTTTCCTCGTCTTCTTCTCCATCTGAACCTCCAGCTCCGCCTCCGTTTCCCTTCTCTGCTGGCGGCGGGGGCGGGGGCAGGTGTAGCCCTCTTCCTTTCGTCCTGCAGGGGCCTTGGGCGCCCAGGACCTCAGCGTTTCCTCTCCGCCGTTCAGGGGTGCGGGGGTGAGGGATCCGAGCCACCGTGAGAAGCAAGCGCCCTCCCCTTCAGACGATCCATGTGGGTTCCCTCAAATTGTGCAAGGTTGCCATGCGTTTCAATGAACCCTTCCGCACCTTCCGTCGAGGTCAGAAGGTATGGAAGGTGGAGGCGGCGGGAAGTTAGTGACGAAGACGATGATCCCCGAGCTCTGTCGATCTGATTTGTTGTCGACAGTCATCTGTCTTTCTCCGATTTCGGCCTTCCGGGGATGTTTCCAGGCCGTGGCCACTCAGGCATGGTTCTGGATGAGAAGCGTCAGGCCTCCCAGGGTAGTGCCGCATCGCGAATGCACATGCGATACGGCTTCATGTTGAGCCCGTTTTTCTCCATGCCGACGTCGCCGATGCGTCGCCGACGTCGCCGGCGCGTCGCCCGTGCATCGGATGCATCGGCGATGCGTCACGATCTTCCGACCCCATTTGCTCGGACCTTACTTGGGAGGCCTCCAGAGACGGAGCCAGGCAGATGCCAGAGACCACAAGACGGCATACACCTACGGTGTTGGGAGGCCTCTAGAATACAACAACATGTGGGAGGCCTCCAAAACAACTACTCCCTTGGCCCTCCCCGTCATTCTTCAGAACCTTCCGCCCTAACCTTCCACCCTTTTTTCGATATGATCTACGCGGGTTTTCTCCCATTTGCGCAAAGTTCCCGTGAGTTTCGATGAATTCTTCCGCACCTTCCGCGAAGGTCGGATGGTACGGAAGGTGGAGGGGGAGGCGCGAGGGGTCGGCAGTTGTGGGACCGCTGGCTGACAAGCAGCACAACGGCGGATGAGTTGGCTCCGGCTCGCTCTCGGGGTCTCGCGCGTTGCGATCTGCTCCCAGAGCGGCTGGTGGCCGGGAGGAAGTCCACACCCCCTGCTTCTCGAGAGCCCAGGTCACGGCCCGAAGGCGGTGGCTTCGGGCACCCCCTGGTGGCGCAGCATGGGGCGCGAGGGCACGAAAACGGTCGCGCACCGCGGGGCGTGGTGCGCGGAGAAAGGATCTAGTTGCGTCGTCGTCGCCGTCGTCGTTTCCGTCGTCGTCGTTTTCGTCGTCGTCGTCGTGTTCGTCGTCGTCGTCGTGTTCGTCGTCGTCGTTTTCGTCGTCGTCGTCGTCCAGGGCGTTCCCAGCGGTGTCAGGTCTTCCCGAACGACCGCCCGGGGCCCGGGCTGAGGCCCAGAAGCATTCGGCCTGCTGCTGCCTCCGCCCCGTCGCGCAGCGCGGCCGTGCCGCAGGCTCCCTGGGTCCGGAAGAACCGCCTGAACGGGCGGATCCAGAAGTTCGAGGAGCACGAGTGGCAGGACCTTGGAGCCACTTGGGGGGCTGAGGTGGCCCAGCACTGGGCCCCGGCCAGCAGAACGGGGGGGAGAAAGGGGCCCTCTCGTCGCCACGACTGGACGGGGCCCAGGGACCGATCTTGAGTGGGTTTGCCCTCGCCCCTCTCGACCGGTTTTCTCGGGGCCTGTCCATCGCAGACCCCTTGGCCGCTTCCAGGCCAAACCCTCTGCCGGGGCTCCAGGCCTCAGTCTTTCCCAATGGGGTCCTTGAAGAGCTCTCCAATTCGAGTCGTATACTTGCTTGCGTGGTTCGGTTTTGTCAACTCTTGAGCTGGCAAGCGCAGCATTCGATAGGGAAGAAGCATGCGCACATGGCGCGAGAACGTTTCGTGCCAGCAGATGGGGTCAGAGCGCGCCGCCCCGATTCTCTCCACGCTGACGGCGGCGGTGCGCCTGCGCAGCGCCGGTTGATGCGGGACGGTCCGCCTGCCCCGCCTCCTAAGATCAAGCAGTGGCGAAGCGTCCTGGCTCGCCTATAGCCCTACCAAACAATGTTCTGAGAACCTTTTGTGGTTCCCACGAAATGTTCTTAGAACAGTTCTGGCTGGGACTGTCTTGCTCTATCACATCGGGTTTATGTTCTAAGAACATTGTTTTCGTTCTTAGAACATTTCGGAATTCTAAAAATTTAGTGGTAGGACTTTAGGAATGCCGGGACGGTCGGTCCCTGCTCAAAAAGACAGAACCAGGCAGATATCAGAGAACACAAGACGGCATACACCCACGGTGTTGGGTAGGAAAGTCGCGGTTTCTTGGCAGCACCTGCTATTTTCTTGAGGGTTGGTTCGTTCCGGGGTTTGCGGAGTAGGCATACGCAGGCAAAACCATGGCCTAGCCGCCTAGCCAAGATTGTCTGATCAAATACCGGAAGTGTAAACACACATTTTCGGATGTCGTCGCGGATTTCTCCGTTCAGCGCTGGGCCTCTTGGAGCGCCTTTCTTCAGTTATTGCTTCGGGCATGACGGGCGTCATGGCCCCCGCCCCCCCCCAATTGACGCAACGCTCCCTCCCCAGTGCGCCGCCGTGCGCATCGTGATCCGCACAGGTGTCCGCATAGGAATCCGCATAGGAGTCTGTCCGCAATCGTCGTCGCCGTCGTCATCGTCGTCGCCGCCGCCGCCGTCGTCGTCGTCTTCGTCGTTGTCGTCGTCGCTCGTCGCTCGTCGCTCGTCGCTCATCGTCGTCGTGCGCGGGGACGCAAGTGGGGGGGGGGGCGATGACGTCACGTTTCGCGCCGGCGGCGTTTAGGAATGCTTAGGAATGATCGAGGACGGGTAGCAGCACCATGTCGGTGGCGATCTGCAACTCAACGCCTGTGTACCCCACAGTTTTTGCGTGCACCACAGCGCCTGTGTACACCGCACCGCCTATGTACACCATAGCAACCGCGTGCAACACAGCACCAGAGTACACCACAATGCCTGCGTGCACTCCAGCGCCTGTGTACACCACGGCGTTTGCGTGCACCACAGCAACCGCGTGCAACAGAGCACCACCGTTGTATATAGAATGTGTTAAGGAATCCTTATGACAAAATGGAGCGCCTGTGGATTCAATGCGCTTTTTTTTATATAGTATTGGGATAGAGATCCAACTGGAGAAAGGAGCGCCGCTGGAATCTACTTGTCCTCTGGAGTCCGCCCACATCATCCTAACTCCTCCCATCTGCGTCCAGGAGACTCCAGCCAAATTGGCCGTCGGAGAACCAAATGGACTGATTCAATCGACCATTCTGCGGTGCACGCTGAGATGCGCACGTGCGCTGTAGCTCCGACCCGCACGACAAGGGGGAAGGGTGAGGGAGGAGGAGAAGGAGACGGAGAAGGACGACGACGAGAAGGAGGAGGAGGAGGAGGAGGAGGAGCACCAAGAGGAGGACGAGGAGGCGGAAGTGGAGGAGGGAGGAGGTTAAAACGTCTCATTCCATTATCAACACGGCGTTTAGCTGTCCGCAGCAGATCCTCCCGGACATGCTCCTTCTACATGTCCCGCGCACGCAGGCACTCTGGTGTACACCTGCGCTGCGTTGCACGCGGATGCTGTGGTGTAAATGGGCGCTGTGGTGTGCACAGGCGCTGCGGTGCACGTCAGCATTGTGGTGTAGACAGGCGCTGTGTTGCACATGGCCGCTGCGGTGTACACGTTCGCTGTGGTGTACACTGGCGCTGTGGTGCGCGCAAGCATCGCGGCGTACACAGACGCTGCGTTGCGCACGGCTGTTGCGGTGTACGCAGGCGCTGTGGTGTACACAAGCGTTGTGGTGCACGCGAGCACTGTGGTGTACACAGGCGTTGTGGGCGGATCGCCACCTACATGCTGTTCGCGTCGTCGTCGTTGTTTTCGTCGCTCGTCGCTCGTTGTTCGTCGCTCGTCGCTCATCGTCGTCGTGCGCGCGGGCGCGTTTGTGGTGCCGGAGCCACACGGCGGGGGTGGGCGGCGTTACGTCATATCCCCTCCCGCCCCCGCCCCCCTTGACGCCCGCCATCGCCGATGATAAAGAAGCGCGCTCTTGGCGGCGCCTCCGGCGCCAATCCTGGCGCGCTCGTCGCCCCAAGGGTAGGGGGTCAGCGTCGATCGAAGCGATCCGCGTGTACCTCCGAAAGTTTCTGTTCATGTCGCTTGTTACTCTGGAAAGCGTCGTGCGGAGCTGTAGAGTCTTGGACCGTCCTCTCTAGACTCCTTCTGGGCCCGGGTCCTGATTATAAGCTTGACCCCAGAGAGCACCATCTGGCATGGACCCTGCAAGAGCAGGTACTGAGTTCTTGATGTTTCGCGTATCCCCACCAGCCCATCCAGAAACGATGCCCAGGGGATATGTCTAAAGAGGGGCGTAGGTAAGCATATAGTGAAGCGATGACGCCAACAATGGTGACACTCCCTGGGTGCCCTCTTCCGGCTGCTTGCATAGGGGGGCAGGGGAAGGGGGAAAGGTTTCTTCGAAACACCCATGCTTCTTAGAAGGGGGGAAGGCTTCTTAGAAGCACCCATGCTTCTTAGAAAGCGTGAGCAGTATCTATAGATGTAGGGCCGACACCTTCTATGAAGCAGGCTCCTTCTAAGAAGCCCCCCCCCCCTCCCCCTACCCCCATGTGCGCGCCGCCAACTCTGAGGGTCTTCTTGGGGCTTCTTCGGGACCGCAGCGAGAAGGAGGAGGATGCCGACGAGGAGGACGACGACCAGGGCAAGAACGATAATGAGGACGAGGGCGACGAGGATGAGGACGAGAAGGAGGAGGAGCAGGGGGAGATAGACCAGTGCAAACCCGAGATTCACCAACTGTGTTGCAATACACCCTCCCTCCAAGTTCCCCGTTCAAAGGTCCTTGCAAGAGTTTGCGTTCACTGCGAGAAGCGTCAATTTGCAGACAACCGTCGCAAATCAACGCGACAGCTGCCTCCTGCGATTTGAAGCCGTGCCAGACACCCATCCTGGGACTTCAGCACCCCGAGCCAACCTACGTCTGCGCCCTGACAACCCTATATCCGTCCCAGAACGCCACACTCCTGGGAATTCGACCATCCGAATCCTGGTGCAACTACTGCAGTATTTCAAGACGAATGTGCACGGCGCTGAGGCGAGGGACGCATTTTGAAAACGAGCCGCCATCCAGCCGTAAAGCGAGTACCGCGCTTTCAGGATAATGCGCGCGGCGCGAAGGCGACAACCACCTTCTGAACACCAGATGTGCGCCATCCTGTCCACCCTGTAAGAATGATGCAAACTTTGGAGACGAATGCGGGTGGTGCTAAGGCGAGAGCCACATGTTGAAAACCTGGTGTCCTCCATCCCCCAGGCTGATGCAACCTCTTAAGATGGATGTAGGCGGCGCTAATGCGAGAGCCACATGGCGAAAATCACCCGCTCATACATGGGGGAAGTATCAGGCGAAACGTCCAGCCCGCCCTACCGACACGCCTGGGTGTGTGACAGGGAGGATGCATTTCTATGCAACGGGATGGAAGAGGAGGAGGAGGAGGAGAAGGAGGAGGAGGAGGAGGAGGAGGAGGAGGAGGGGGTGGAGGAGGAGGAGGAGGAGGAGGACAACGGGGAGTAGAAGAAGGGCGACGAAGATGCAGACGGTGACGAGAAACACGAAGACGAGGAGGACGAGGAGGAGGAGGCGGCGGAAGAGGAGGAGAGGGATAACGAGGACGATAATTTGCTCGAAGCCCTTTCGGGCCCTCTTGAGGCTCTTTCCGTGGGTATTGTGGTTTTCGTGGGGCTCGTTTGGAGGGTCTCAGGGCCTTCTTCGGGCCCGTGTGAAGCTCTCTCGGGGTTTTCTTTGGACCCTTGGATGGCCTCTTGGGGTACTGTTGGAGGCTCTATATGTGTATCCCCCCTCCTCTAGGGCCATCAGAATCGCCTCCTCTGGCCCGCTTGGCTTTCTTGGGGCTCTGGGCGGCCTTCGGGCCGTCCTGGGAGCCTCTTGGGCCTCGTTGGGCCATCTTGGGGTCACCTTGGGTCTTCAAGATCCCATCGGGAGCGAAATTGCGAGAAAGCACGCGCACGCAGTTTCTTAATGTGTTGCAAGGATGCTGGTCTCTTGGGTAAGTTCTGAGGGGCCTCCGAGAGCGCTTGGAAAGTATTGTGGTCCTCTTGGGGCCTCTCGGATGCATGTCGGAAGCAATCTTGACTCAGGGGTCATTTTGAGCCATTTGGGGGGCCACCTGTGACCATCGGGGGCCCATCTTGGAGCCATCTTGGGGAAAAAAACTGACCCCCTGACACATCGCCCCCCCCCCCCCCCCAGAGCAAAAGCCTAAGGAAGGCTAGGGGAGGGTACCCCTCTTCGAAGGAAATAGATGTTTGGAAGGGGAAAGAAGAACTCCTGTGCTGGTGGAATTCTGAAATGGATGAAGGAGGCGTGAACCCAACCAACAACACATTGGGATGCATCTCCTGGGAGGTGACGTTTAGCATCGGCGCGGTCGAACACTGGCATGATCCCGGCCTGGTTC